AACATCAGGAGAGGAATCTTCCAGGAAGACTCAAGAATAGTAAATGTGAATAATGATAATAATAATAATAATAATAATAATAATAATAATTTACAAAATGATTCTGGAGAACTGCAAAAGCCGAAAAACCAATCTTCACATGACGTGGATTGACTACAAAAAAGCCTTTGACTCACTCCCACATAGTTGGATCATCAAGTGCCTAGACACCATCGGGATTTGTAAAAATGTTGGCACTTTTACTGAAAATATGATGAATCAGTGGACTGCAATATTACGGGACTACAGTATTTGTAGTGTCTTTATTTAGTAGTAAAGGCGGGAAATAGGTAAAGTAAACAACAACAACAACAAAAAACAACAACCGCTTTGACTCCCCTTGTGGAGAGAAAAAGTGTATAAATAAATATAATAATAATAATAATAATAATAATAATAATAATAATAATAATAATTCTGGAGAACTGCAAAAGCCGAAAAACCAATCTTCACATGACGTGGATTGACTACAAAAAAGCCTTTGACTCCCGCACAAAAGTGGGGTATAAATAATAATAATAATAATAATAATAATTCTGGAGAACTGCAAAAACTGAAAAACCAATCTTCACATGACATGGATTGACTACAAAAAAGCCTTTGACTCAATCCCACACAGTTGGATCATCAAGTGCCTAGACATCATCAGGATTTGTAAAAACGTTGGCACTTTTATTGAAAATACGATGAAGCAGTGGAAAACTGAACTGTTTGTTGGAAATGAAAACTACGGACTTGTCAACATCAGGAGAGCAAAAGCCGAAAAACCAATCTTCACATGACGTGGATTGACTACAAAAAAGCCTTTGACTCACTCCCACACAGTTGGATCATCAAGTGCCTAGACACCTTCGGGATGTGTAAAAACATTGGCAATTTTATTGAAAATATGATCAAGCACTGGAAAACTGAACTGTTTGTTGGAAATGAAATCTATGGACTTGTCAACATCAGGAGAGGAATCTTCCAGGAAGACTCGAGCGCAGTAAATGTGAATAATAATAATAATAATAATTATTATTATTATTATGATTATTATTATTGACAAAATGATTCTGGAGAACTGCAAAAGCCGAAAAACCAATCTTCACATGACGTGGATTGACGACAAAAAAGCCTTTGACTCACTCCCACACAGTTGGATCATCAAGTGCCTAGACACCATCGGGATGTGTAAAAACGTTGGCACTTTTATTGAAAATATGAAGCACTGGAAAACTGAACTGTTTGTTGGAAATGAAAACTATGGACTTGTCAACATCAGAAGAGTAATCTTCCAGGAAGACCCGAGCGCAGTAAATGTGAATAATAATAATAATAATAATAATAATAATAATAATAATAATAATAATAATTCTGGAGAACTGCAAAAGCTGAAAAACCAATCTTCACATGAYGTGGATTGACTACAAAAAAGCCTTTGACTCACTCCCACAAAGTTGGATCATCAAGTGCCTAGACACCTTTGGGATGTGTAAAAACGTTGGCAATTTTATTGAAAATATGATGAAGCACTGGAAAACTGAACTGTTTGTTGGAAATGAAAACTACGGACTTGTCAACATCAGAAAAGGAATTTTCCAGGGAGACTCATTGTTCCCACTGCTTTTCATCATTGCCATGATCCCCCTGTCAACAATCTTACAAAAAAACAAACCTCAGCTATCAAGCATCTCAGACACCCACACACTCAAACCCACACACAGAGATAGATATCTACATAAGAACTCCAACCATCACCCAAGTCAAAAAAGAAGCGCCATTCAAGCCTTGGCAGACCGTGCAAAAAGAATCTGTGAAGCCCACCTCCTCCAAGATGAACGGGACCACCTCAACTGGGCTCTCCAGGCCAATGGATACTCCACCTCAGACATCAGAAGAGCTGCAAGACCACCGAGAAGAAGCCACGAGAGTAAAGATGAAGATCCACCCAGAGGAAAAGTGTTCCTGCCAGACATCAAGGGAACCACTGACCGCAGAGGGAAGCTGACGAGGAAACACAACATACAAAAAATCTACAAACCCACCAAGAAAATCCAACAAATGCTACATTCAGCAAAGGACAAGAGGGATCCTCTCACCTCTGCAGGAGTCTTCCGTGTACCATGCAGCTGTGGACAAGAAGTCTACCTAGGGACCACCAAACGCAGCAGCATTGCCCAGACACAAATCAAGGAACATGAAAGGCACTGCAGACTACTTCAACCAGAGAAATCAGCCATAGCAGAGCACCTGATGAACCAACCTGGACACAGCATATTATTGGAGAACACAGAAATGCTGGACCACACCAACAACCACCATGTCAGACTACACAGAGAAGCCATTGAAATCCACAAGAAGCATGTGGACAATTTCAACAGAAAAGAAGAAACAATGAAAATGAACAAAATCTGGCTACCAGTATTAAAAAACTCTAAAATTACAGCAGAAAAACAACAGAGAGGAAACAAACAGGCACATCAAATCACCTTCAACAAAAGATTCCCCCCAGGTGCTTCTAAGCCATTGAAGGCTAATCAAGGTGATCAGCTGAAACATTCACACCTAGCTCCAGCAGACAAGAGTCCTTTGTCTCACCCTAGTCATTCCACAGATATATAAACCCATTTTTCCTAGTTTCAACAGACCTCATTACCTCTGAGGATGCTTGCCATAGATGCAGGCGAAACGTCAGGAGAAAAATTGCCTCCAGAACATGGCCATATAGCCCGGAAAAACCTACAACAACCCACATCTCACAGATCTCGCAAAATTTCACATTTGTTGTACATGGATGACCTGAAGCTGTGTGGGAAAACCGAAACCGAAATCCAGTCTCTGACTGACACTGTCTGAATTTTTAGCACGGATATCAACATGGAGTTTGGTTTGGACAAATGTTCGACAGTGGCCCTGAAGAAGGGAAAAATAATTGAGAGTGAGGGCATAAATATGCGAAAAAGTGTCACCAGCCAGAGGCCTAGAAATATCTGGGCAGACTACGGCTCAACAATATCGAACATGAACATGTGAAAACTGTGGTCAGCAAAGAATACATTCAAAGGGTCAGAAAAATTCTCAAAAGCAACCTCAATGGAGGCTAACACCATCAAGGCCATAAACACCTGTGCCATACCTGAAGTCAGTAATCAGATACTTCTCAAAGCACAGCAGACAAAGAACCAGTACAAGAAAACTTCACTCCAAACCAGAGCTGACAGCTGGCACAACAAAGCCTTGCATTGAAGGAAAAGTGGACAAGTGTCATAAGATACGCTGCTGGCATCATAAACTGGACACAGGCAGGACTGGACAATTTGGACAGAAAAACAGGAAAGCTCATGACCATTCAGAATTCATTACATCCTTGCGGTGATGTTGACCAGCTCTATCTGACGAGAAAGTCTGGTGGAAGAGGACTCTTACACGTAAAACAAGCAGTCAAAGAAGAACCACATGATGCCCTGGCAGAAAATGGAAAGGAAAGCCAAGAACCTGCTTTGATTGAAGTCAATAATCGGAAACTTCTCCAAACACAGCAGACAAAGAGTCAGTACAAGAAAACTCCACTCCAAACCAGAGCAGACAGCTGGCACAAAAAAGCATTGCATAGGCAGGACTCTTTATACGTAAAACAAGTGTCATCAGCAATCAGACATTTGTATTACATTTTTAACAAAAACAAACAAACAGACAGACAAAACAGAATTTGCAAGCTTGGTAGTTGATCATAATAATATATAATAGTATATTTATATAATAATATATAATAGTACATTTATATAATAATATATAATAGTACATTTATACAATAATATACAATAATATATTTATATAATGATATAAATATATATAAAAATAATATATTTATATAATATATAATAATACATTTATATAATAATATATAATAGTACATTTATACAATAATCTATAATAATATATTTATATAATAATATACAATAATATATTTATATTAGTCTATAATAGTATATTTATATAATAATATATAATAGTACATTTATATAATTATAGTAATATATTTATATAATAATATATAATAATACATTTATATAATATATATATAATAATATATATAATATTATATATAATATACAATAATATATTTAATATATAATAATAATATATAATAATATATTATATAATAATATATAATAGTACATTATATATAATATATATATAATAGTATTATATATAATATATATATAATAGTATTATATATAATATATATATAATAGTATTATATATAATATATATATAATAGTATTATATATAATATATATATATATATAATAGTATTATATATATTATAGTATTTATATACAACTATATAATAGTATTTTTATATATAACATGTAATAGTATTATATAATATATATATATAATAGTATTTTTATATATATATTATAGTATTTTATATATATACATATATATATATGATAGTATATATATAATACTATTATATATTCTGCTTTTTCAACAAGATCCAAAGCAGCTCGCAACACTAAAAACAAAATATATAATAATATACAATAATATATTTATATAATATATAATAGTATATTTATATAACAATATATAATAGTGCATATATGTAATAATATACAATAATATATTTATATAATGATATAAATATATATAATAATATATTTATATGATAATATATAATAGTATATTTATATAATAATAAATAATAATATATTTATATAATAATATATAATAGTAGTATATTTACATAGTCATATATTTATATAATAATATATAACCTAATAATATATAATTAATATAATCTTCCAGGCCCCAGGCTATGGGATTTGCAGTTTCCCAAGGCTCTCAGCCTCCTCTTTGCCAAACTACAACTCCCGGGGCCGAATAGCATGGAGCCGAGGACATTGAAAGCATCCAGATTTGGCAAAACAACCCCAAAAAGTGTGAAAATCAATGTTTTAGGGCGGACTTACCATACTTCCGGAGGTAGCCTTGATGGATCCCGGCGGAACTCATGCTGCCGGGAGCCTTCCATGAGACGGAGATGGAAGAAGAGAGCCGGAACGCAATGGGAGCGAAGGGCCGGGTCAACGGAGTGCAAAGCAATGCAATGGCTTGGACTGCTAATCCCTGAGAGCATCCCTGCCTTGGCAGCTGCATCCCTCTCGGCCAATCAGGGCTCTCCCTCTGGCCTAAGCCACGCCCCTTTTCCCTCTTTGCAAAGTCTGGTCCCATTTCCTCCAGGGAGGGATGCGCTTAGGCCATAAGGATAGAAAGGCACCGATATAGATCTTTATTGATTTATTCTGCAGCACTGCTGATCACAGCTGACCTCCAACTGGAGCACTTCCCAGTTCTCAGTGTCTATGCCAGAGTTTTTAAGGTTGGCTTTGAGCCCATCTTTCAATCTCTTTTCCTGTCCACCAACATCCCGTATTCCGTTCTTGAGTTCGGAGTAGAGCAGCTGCTTTGGGAGACAGTGGTTGGGCATCCAGACAACGTGTTGATGGCGGAGGACTATCGCTTCAATGCTGGTGGTCTTTGCTTCTTCCAGCACGCTGACGTTTGTACGCTTGTCTTATCTTCCCAAGAGATTTTCCGGATTTTCCGGAGGCAACGCTGATGGAATTGTTCCAGGAGTTGAATGTTACGTCTGTAGACAGTCCACGTTTCGCAGGGTTGGGATGACAATGGCTTTATAAACAAGCCCCGTGGTCTCCCTACGGATATCCCGGTCCTCAAACACTTCCTGCTTCATTTGGAAGAACGCTGCACTCACAGAGCTCAGGCAGTGTTGTATTTCAGTGTCAATCTTGACGTCTGTAAACAGTCCACGTTTCACAGGTGTATAGCAGAGTTGGGAGGGGAATAGTTTTATAGACAAGCCCCTTGGTATCCCTACGGGTGTCCCGGTCCTCAAACAGTCTCTGCTTCATTCGGAAAAATGCTGCACTCGCACAGCTCAGGCAGTGTCGAATTTCAGTGTCAATGATGACGTCTGTAGACAGTCCACGTTTCACAGGCGTATAGCAGGGTTCGGAGGGGAATAGCTTTATAGGCAAGCCCCTTGGTCTCCCTACGGATGTCCCGGTCCTCAAACACTCTCTGCTTCATTTGGAAGAAATCTGCACTCGCAGAGCTCAGGCTGTGTTGAATTTATTTATTGCTATTTTATTATTATTATTATTATTATTATTATTATTATTATTATTATTATTTCCTTCCTGGAAATTAAAATAATAATAATAATACAGTATTATAAAATAAAATCTAAACCAAATGTTTAAAAATAGGAATTATTATTATTATTATTATTATTACTATTTTATTAATATTATTTATATTATTATTATTATTATTATTATTATTATTTCCTTCCTGGAAATTAAAAAAATAATAATAATAGAAGATTGTAAAATAAAATCAGAACCAAATGTTTTAAAATAGGAATTATTATGATTTTATTAATTATTATTATTATTTTATTTATTAATCATTTTATTATTATACTATATTAATTATATTTATTAATTTATTATATTTATTATATTATACTATATTATTATTATTTTCCTTTCTGGAAATTAAAATAATAATAATAATAATAAAAGATTTTAAAATAAAATCAGAACCAAATTATTTATTATTATTATTTATTTTATTATTGTTTTATTATATATATATATATATATATATATATATATATATATATATATATATTATATTTATTATTTATTTCCTTCCTGGAAATTAATAATAATAATAATACAAGATTGTAAAATAAAATCAGAACGAAATGTTTAAAAATAGGAATTATTATTATTTTATTATTATTATTATTTTATTATAATTATTATTGATTATTATTATTATTATTTATAATAATAATACAAGATTGTAAAATAAAATCAGAACGAAATGTTTAAAAATAGAAATTATTATTATTTTATTATTATTATTAATTTTATTATTATTATTTTATTATAATAATTATTGATTATTATTATTATTTATAATAATAATACAAGATTGTAAAATAAAATCAGAACGAAATGTTTAAAAATAAGAATGATTTATTATTATTATTATTTATTTTATTATTATTTTATTTATCATTGTTGTTGTTGTTGTTCATTCGTTCAGTCGTGACCTCATGGACCAGCCCACGCCAGAGCTCCCTGTCGGCCGTTACCACCCCCAGCTCCCTCAAGGTCAGTCCAGTCACTTCAAGGATGCCATCCATCCATCTTGCCCTTGGTCGGCCCCTCTTCCTTTTGCCTTCCACTTTCCCCAGCATAATTGTCTTCTCTAGCTCTCCCATCTTCCAATGGCATACCGACATATCTCTGGTTGTACTGGTCCATTTAGTTTTCTTGGCAAGGATACTGGAGTGGTTTGCCATTGCCTTCCCCAGGGATCACGCTTGGTCTGACCTCTCTGCCACGACCGTCCCGTCTTGGGTGGCCCTTCACGGTTTCGCTCATGACATCATTGAGGTGCTCAAGCTCCAGCGCCCCGACAAGGCGGTGATCCTTTGCTGGAGTTATTTATCATTATTATTTATTAATTATTATTATAACTATTTATTATTATTATTTTGTTATTATTATTAATATATATATTTATTATTTTTATTATTTATTATTATTTATATTATTATTATTTATAAATTATTATTTATTATTATTATTGTTATTTTATAATTTATTGTTTTATATTATTTTATTATTATTATTTTATTTTTATTATTATTACTATTTTATTATTATTATTTATTATATTATTATATTTATTATTATTGTTATTTTATAATATTATTATTATTTTATATTATTTTATTATTATTATTATTTTATTTTTATTATTACTATTTTATTATTATTATTTATTATATTATTATATTTATTATTATTATTTATTAGTATTATATTATTATATTTATTATTATTATAGTAATTATATTATTATATTATTTATTAATTATTATTATGATTTTATTATTATAATATTTATTATTATTAATATTTATTAGTATTATATTGTTATATTTTTATTATTATATTTTTTATATTATTATATTTATTATTATTATATTAATTATATTATTATATTATTTATTTATTATATTATTATTATTATTTATCATTATATTTATTATTATATATTTATATTCAATTTCCTAGAGCTGGAGCTCTTCTTCCTTTCCTGCCAATTCCACGTGAGGCCACGCCCCCTCACCGCCATGGCCACGCCCCCTCCAGGGCTTGGCCACGCCCCCGCACATGGCCCGGCGTTGTAGCCACGCCCCCTCACGCGGCGACGAACTGGCCTCTCCCCGGCGCCTGCAAAACCGGCTTCCTATTGGCTGCGGCGGGCGTCACTCTCAACCTTGGGCAGAGGGGGGGCGGGACTTCTATTTGCTGCTGCTTTCCTTTGTGCTTCCCAGCAGAAACCAGCAAGGAACCAGTAAGTAAGTAAACAAGGGGCCATTCCCCTATTTTTTGGGGGGCTGATGCATTCAAAAAGGGGTGCTATTCCATATCTTTCCACCCAACTTTCCTCCAGCTTGGATGTGGTTCAGTTCCAGTATTATTCTTCCTCATTGAGGACTAGAAGCTTAGGCTTGGGTTTTAAATATGTATCTATAATGCAAAAAATACTATGTTTTCCGGATTTCCAAATGTCACTCTCAAGGAATGACACCCCCCACCTTCCTTTATTGACATTTTTAATATTTTTAAAGTTTATATATAGTCAATTTTATATATTTTCAATATTTTATCATATTTTTATACATATTGTTTAATTTTTATATATTATATTTTGTATATTTTATAATGTTTTATATTTTATACTAAATGTAAATATGTTTATTTGTTTATTTTTATATATTTTATTTTATATTTATATAATATTTATATATTTTAAATATTTTTATATTTTATATTTTATATTTTGTATCTATATATATATAGTAAATTTTTATATTTTTTCAATATTTTCTAATATTTTGTATTGTATATAACATATACATATTGTTTAATTATTATATATTCTACTTTATATATTTTATAATGTTTTATATTTTATACTAAATGTAAATATGTTTATTTGTTTATTTTTATATATTTTATTTTATATTTATATAATATTTATATATTTTAAATATTTTTATATTTTATATTTTATATTTTGTATCTATATATATATAGTAAATTTTATATTTTATATATTATATATATTATATTTTATATTATATAATATTTATATATTTTAAATATTTTTATATTTTATATTTTGTATCTATATATATATAGTAAATTTTTATATTTTTTCAATATTTTCTAATATTTTGTATTGTATATAACATATACATATTGTTTAATTATTATATATTCTACTTTATATACTTTATAATGTCATATTTTGTATAAAATATAAATATATTTATATTTTATATATTATATTTTATATCTATATATATATATAAAATATATATTTTTAATATTTTATATTTTATATGTTTAATTTTATATATTCTAGTTTATATATTTTCTTTTATATTTTATATATAATATAAATATGTTTATATTTTATATCTTATATTTTATATCTATATCTATATGGTAAATTTTATATATTTTTGATATATTATAATATTTTATGTCAATATGTAATATTTTATATCGTATATAACATATACATATTGTTTAATTTTTATATATTATAGTTTAGACATTTTATGTTTCATATTTTTCATATTTTTAATTTTTTATATAGTATATAAAATATAAATATTGTTTAATTTTTATATATTATAGTTTATATATTGTATAATGTTTTATATTTAATATAAAATATAAATGTTTATTTTATGTATATTATATTTTATATGTATATAATATTTATATATTTTCAATATATAAGATTTTATATTGTGTATAAAATATATTGTTTAACTTTTATATATTACAGTTTATATATTTTATAATGTTTTATATTTTATCTAAAATATAAATCTAAAATATAAATATGTTTATATTTTTATATATTTTATATATTTTATATTATATAATATTTATATATTTTAAATATTTTTATAATTTTTATATTTTAATTTAATATTTTTTTCAATATTTTTATTATATTTATATTGTATA